CTGGGCGCCTCCCGGGCTCCGCCGAGCTGAGGCTGCGGCGCCCGGCCGCGCTGCGCGCTCGCCGGCGCCTGGCCGCCGCGATGATGAAGAAGAAGAAGTTCAAGTTCAAGGTGGACTTCGAGCTGGAGGAGCTCTCCTCCGTGCCCTTCGTCAACGGGGTGCTGTTCTGCAAGATGCGCCTGCTGGACGGCGGCAGCTTCAGCGCCGAGTCGTCCAGGTAACGCGCGCCACCGCCGCCGCGTCCTCCTCGGGAGCCGCCGTGCGGCGCGCTCGCCGGCGGGTGGGCTCGGGGTTCGGGGCTCGGGGCTCGGGGCTCGGGCGGGCCTGCGCGCCCTCCCTGCCCGGAACGGCCGCGGTGCCGGGCGAGGGTACGTCGGGCTTCCCCGCGACCGCGTCTCCGGGTGAGGGTCGGCGCCGAGCCTGAGGGTTGATTAAAGACGAAACCGACCCGGACTGCGCGGGACCGGGAGCGCCCGCGCCGAGCCTTCTGCGCGCCGCGGCGCCCTCCGCCTGCAGCCTGCGCCCGGACGCGGGCGGCCTGGTCCGCCCGGCCGGAGTCCGGGGTTGGAGCCCGCGAGGGCCCCGCGGGGCGCTCGCCGATTAACGTAGCCTTGAAGCGGCCCGCAGCGGGTCTCGGTGGGGAGTGTTGGACGCCAGTAGGTGCCCGACCTTGCTGTCATTCCGCACTGAGCTCAGGGAGACGCCTTGGCGGACTTCGGCGTGCAGCCGGCTGTGACAGTGCCCCTTGTGCGACTGCGGGGCTGTTCGCTGGCGGACAGATTTGCCCTAGAGCGTTTTGTTTGTTTTTTTTTTTTTGGTCAAGAAAGCAGAAACTTACACAATTGCCTTTAATGAACTGCTGAGTTCACTAGGCTAAGGAGGATTAATAGTTCTTTGTATTTTGCCTCTGTGTACTCATCTCGGACGGCATTTTTATTCCGAAAACATTCTGCTTGCCTTTCAGCTGTCATCCCACTAATAAAGGAAGCCGCAGTGTCATTGGATGGGCCCGTCAGGAGTGTCAGTGGGCAGGGAAACCGCCCACCCTGGTCCTACAGAAGGCTGTGGAAGCCAGACTATGTCTGGTTGGCTAGAGCGTAGTGTGTGCGAGGCACTACTCTTAAAATTAAGAAGAAAAAAAAAAGTGTGCTGAGGACCATTTTAAAAATTAAACCGATGACAAATCTGTAGCTATCCAGCTAATTATCCTACAGTCATTTTAACATACGTGTAAGGAAACAAATGATGCCCAAAAAATGCTGCACTAGCTCTTAGAATCTGGAGAAGCCTCGCACTTGTAACTGTCCTTACGGACAGTGACCATCCTAGCCTCCAGGGCTGCTGTTTTGCTGCAGGGTCACACACCCCACCTGGAAGAGACCAGGGCTGCTGACCCAGTGGTGACACCTGGTGGTCAGGACACTTGTCTAGTCAGCGCTCCTTTCCCTTAGCCTGCTGTACTTCTGTTCAGTTGTTGCAGGTAATCATTTATTCAGCAAATACGTCCATTGGGCCTTTTGAATATACTCTTTTATGTAATTTTCCTAGAAAGCCTATGAGAATTAAAATGGGGGAGGAGCCCCCAGTTTTGGACAAATAAATTGAGGCACAGGAAGCATCACAGGCTTTGCCAGTCCCCACTGATTAGTGTAGTGCCAAGGTTCTGAAGTAGCTCTAACTTCAAACGGGGTGGTGCCAAATAAAGGGAAAACAGGCACTATGCTGAAGGGCTTCTTCTGAGTAGGCAGCTTCCTGATGGTTTTAAGGTACGATGAGTAGAATTGGGTATGTGCTCTTCAAAGACTAGGAAATGAGAAAGTTAAACATCCCTTTCTCCTGCAACTAAAATCTGGCTTTCATCAAGGCAGATGAGGGTAGGAAGTGTGCCCTGTATGGCCAAGCAAACAAGGGGCCCTGCGGTTTGAGGGAAATGATTCAGAGTGAGGAGCGTGTGCCTTTGAAGTGGGGTGCAGCGTGCGTGTGGAGCCGAAAGCAAGGGTGTGGTGTGTTAGCCAGCTTTCTGTCCCTGTGACAAAATACTTGAACTTGGAGGAAAGATTTGTGTAGGATTATTGAAACATGGGTTTTATTACAGTGAAAAAAAAACCAAAAACCTCTTGTCATTAGTCCCCCTCAAAGTTCTCCCACTTGCATGGAACCCACTACCCCATCATTTTGGCCACTTTCTGAAGCAGTTCTGGAAGTCTTTCATGAATGTCTTATGAGATGTGATTAAAAAAATATGGTGAAGGCAGCTGCTGGATGGCATCCAACAGGAGGACAGGCGTCATAGAAACACGGTATGTCCTCATCCACCTACTCACCAGATCTGGCAGCATGCAGCTTTCGGCTCTTCCCCGAAGTCAGAATGACCATGAAAGGGAAGCATTCTGAATTGAATTAGGATACCAAGGCCACCACAGCAGGGTAACGAAACGGCATTTCCAGAACTGCCTCAGAAAATGGCACAACTGATCAGGTGCTATTCAAAGCAAGACAGACTTATTTGGAGTGGTATTCGTGGCAGTGGACCTTTTACTGTAATTTTTTTTAAATTCAAACACCATTTTTGGCCACGCCGCGTGATTTGGGCATGTGGCCTTAGAGGCTTCCTGCAAGTCACTTGGCCCCATAGCCTGGGCCAGAAACAAGGCTGAACATTACACCAGAGGATGTGTCGTGGGGCAGAGCTGTTCATGTCATGGCAAACAGCAGTGTCCAGGGACAAGATGTAGCCCTCAGCGGGTCCTGCAGGGACATACTCTGCCAGCCAGGCCCCACCTCCTAAGTTTCCATCACCTCCCAGCCGGGGACCACACCCTCAGTGCAAAGCCTTTGGGAGTCCTTCCAGTTCCAAACTATAACACATGGGTCCAAGGCCAGGCGCCAAGCCTGCCATGATGCAGTTGCATGTGGCCCTTAGGCTCTCAAAGCTAAAATCGGTAAAACTGAAACGTCTGCTGGCCTGTGGACAGGTTATTTTGAAGATCTAGGAGGGTGTTGTACCTGCATCACCTAACTGCTTTGGCACCTAGGGGATTTTTAAAGGAAGGAGACAAGAAACTTGTTGAAAACTAGCTGTTTGCTTTAGATAGTGTATTTAATTCTTTAAACTTGACAAATCCAAAAATGTTGACTTAAGAGAGAAACAGTACCTCATTTTACAAGGGAAAGAAAAAGGAAAACCTAGACTCACAGAAGGAAGTGGATTATTTCCAAGTGGCACAGCTGCTAACCAGTGAATGCCTATGCTGGAAGCACATCACTATTAGGTTTGAGTTCTTAGAAAAATCGCTTTGGGGTCACTGTCAATCCTGTGACATTTCTCCCATGAACTAAGCAACATGTAAAAGAGAAAAGCCTGCCTAAGACAGCTGTCCCTCTAAAGCCTATTATTTATTTACTAGCTTGCCCCCGGCTTCTGTGTGGAAACCTGGATGGTAAAATGTTCTATACATGACGTGCAACTTTACCTAAGTGACAAGACTGGATCGCTGTGCCTACACTGCCGTGTGGGTCCTGCCGAACACCTGAGAGTCTGCAATAGTGGGCTGTGCCCAAGTGACCAGCCATAATCAAAGCTTTAATCCACATAGAGCTTAGATGTATAATTGTTTGACAGTGGGCGACAGTATGAATTACTGCCTAATGAGTGGGTCAAACAAGGTGTGAGTGTTGTTGAAATTCTAGAGGAAGAGAGTTTATTTACAGGCATAATGGTTTCTGAAAACCGTGTTAGCATTTCAGTTGAGCATGCTGGGAGGATGCATTTGCAACTGACAAGAAAGCCAGGTGGGAGGACAGCTTGAGCAATACATTAATAGAATTGGTGCTACATCAGCCTGGTGGCAGAGGGCTCACTTTGAACAGAGGCAGAAGATAAGATTAGAAAAGGGGCTTTGAATGCCTTTATTGTTTGCTTTCCGTTTCTCATTGGGTAAAATTCAATCTAGGATTCCTGAACTGAGTGGTAATATAATTAGAATGATATTTATGGTGGTCTGCAGGTGGATGCCACTTGGATCCAAGTGGTAACAAATTAAAGGTGGAGAGACAAATTAAAAGGCTATTAAAAGAATAGTTAGCTCCCGGGCCAGAGCTAATGAGAACCTCAACTCAGGTTTCTCAAGTCAGTGAATGATAAACAACAATCTATAGTTGGTGCCTGGCAGTAGTTAGGATTCAGGAAAATGGTCTGCTTTGGTTTGGCTTGAGGGAGAGTTTGCATATGGTGATAGAGGCTATGTGGAGTTTTAAGTTGTGTGTGTAACATACTGCGCTTCAGTTGGCAGCCTGATAAGTGGTTGAAGACACTTGGATGGTGGTGTGTAGATTTCTTAGATTCTAATCTATTAAAACCACACTTATTTCTCCTTTAGCATTTCCTTAGGCCGCTTTGCACTTTTACAGATGATTAAAATTGAATTTAGAAGAATCCAGTTTCTCCTGAGTTTTGTCCAGTGAAGAGGTTAGATAAGTAGTGAAAATGAAAAGACGATTATTGGTAATACATTATGAAATTGTTAGAATAAGTGGTTAAATCGCACCTGCGTTTTAACATTTGAGGAATAAATTGTACAATTAGACAGGTCTACACAGCTGAAGCAAGTTAGTACCTATGGAGATTTCTGAAAACCTTTGGAAAGACTCAGTCTTGTATTTAAATCTTTTTTGAGGTCTTCCATTGTAAAGTGTTTAAATTACTTTTGAGAATTATTGTGATTGTTAGGATGGGTTTAATTCTAGTCTGCTTAAACAAAAAAATTTCTCGTACATATTTTTGCCTTTTATTTGTCTTTTTTTTTTTTTTTCTTGTGCTCATAGCAAAAATAATTTTATTCTGGCAAAAACACATGAATCCAGGGAGTGTCCAGGAAATGGAAGAGCACATCTGTTTATTGGAGTTTTTACTTTGTAAACAAGCTAAGAGAATTTTTTTCCCCCTGGCTGGAGAACATCTCTGTTTTCAAGATTTTAGTTCACTGCACGTTCACTCCGTCTTTAGTAAATTTTTCTTTATTGCAAAAGTAGTATAGATTCCTATGGAAAAAGTAAAAGTGCAAGAACTGACCGCACACGCTGCAGCCTGAGCTGATCGGTGTTACGGAGACGTGCGTGTATAACCTAGTAGCTTCTGTTGACCCAGCCCAGCCACCCAGCCGGCCACCCGCACGCACGTCCGCGCCCCACAATCTTCACCTACCTTTCTTTAAACCA